GCACTGTTGGATTTGCTGAACATGTTAAGCCCAAAAACAAGGGGCCGCCCACACAGAGAGGCAGACAAACCCAGCAAATCGTTAGGAAGCCCGTCCAAGAAGCGAGAGCGTGCATGACCAGACTCTAATTGGGACTCCGTGCCACACACAGGATAATTAAGGGGCAATTCCTGGGAACAAGCAGAAGACAACACAACTGCCAGGACAGAATGAAGGTTTCCCAGGCTCAGACACTCCTGCACCCTGCTCGTCACCCCAGAGGACACACAGGTGCACCTGCTGTGAACGGTGTTTTGGGAAAGTCATGTTACAATCACAACAAATTATTAAGGGCTATTTAGAAGGAAACATGATACAATTAATCCAAAGTATATACAGAACTCATGTAGGCCTGCAGAGAGAAGGAACTTCTTACTTTTCATGAACACAGACAAAGAACTGCTACTAGCAAGATAATTCCTAAAGCTCAATTTGATAAGAATTCCAGGTCTATAAGATTCTAACAGGTTTGGATGCTGTTCAACCAAATAGTTACTTCAGCATTAGTTCAAATAAAAGAACTCGTGGCCATAGGTGGAAATTAGCGGGAGAACATTTCAAACTGGATTTAAGGAAGCACTTCTTTACACAGCGTGTAGTCAGAGTATGGAATAGTCTTCCTGATGCAAGCTGAATCCTTGGGTTCCTTTAAATCAGAGTTAGATAAGATATTAACAACTCTGAGCTATTAGTTAAGTTCTCCCCAAGCGAGCTTGATGGGCCGAATGGCCTCCTCTCGTTTGTATAGTTCTTATGTTCTTACTGTACTTGTGGCTGAGAGGCAAACTATCCTTAAAGAGTCTGATAAGCATAGACTGTTGTGTACCATCCTGGCACGGGTTTTGGGGGGGGGGGAACTGAAAGCCAGCTGCCACGAAAATAGAAAGATGTTCCCATTCCTGCACCCGTTATAAGTCCACGACTGCATGCAAGGTTCTGTTAGAACGTGAGGGAAAACCCATAAACATTTAGAGACGTAAGGGAAAGTGAAAAAATGACGCCCCAGTGTTCTTGGTTGGTAATTTGAATACAAACAGCAAATTCTGATGATGGAATAGTCAGGAATAGAATAGGGGTTTACTTTTGAATCACTAGGGTGATAAGGAAGTAACTGAATTAGCAGTGACCAGAGAAGTGACTGAGTCACCATTTGCTCTTGAGGGAGGTCCCTGTCCTGCCCCCTCCCTGTCTCAGAATCCTCACACCCCAGGAGGTCACCCCTTATACGCAAATTCACACACCACACCTACACACAGTACCCTGTCGCAGAGGATCTTGAGGGGTAGAGAACTGTCCTGACCTTGTGTTTGAGCTGCCTTTCAATACCCAGCACATGTCTACATTATATTACATTATATTATTTTGCTGTTCAATAAACCATTATCATGCTGAAACAAGATCTGCAAGTGCCTTCCTTATGGAAAAGAACAGTAAGAAAAGGGAGAATTGTCAATATCAGCAAAAGGCTGAAGAGAGGGCATTTTCACAGTTTAATGTGCACTTTGCATTCCTAAACATAAACAAACTGCTTCAGGAACCGAGCCAGATTTCTCCCTAAAATTAAGCAACACGCAGCATAAATCTTTTTAAATAACTCAACACTCAAAATAGCTCCAACAAGACCAATTCATCTCACGGTAAAAGTATTATTTTTGTAAATGCGGCAGATTTCCGGAGCACACAGAGATACAGGACGCAGTTGAGATACTACAGTGTAACTATGGCGCTAACTTGCAGCATGTGTCAAGTTCAGATGCTCTGTAATTTAACACATTTGATCCACAGCTCAGGACCTAAAATGAGCACAAAGGTCGTGTCAGTTGGGGGGAAACGAGGCAGCCGAAGTGAGCAGCCCAGAGTGGGACGGCCAGCTGTCCACCGGCAGCTGTCCATCCCTAATAACCCCTTTCAAGGGTCCATGGAGAGCAGCCAAAACACAGAGCTCCCGGCTCGCGGCCTTTTTCGCCGGAGAGACCCTGTAAACGTTCCTTTCACCGGGCGGACAAAAGGCACGGTGGCTGAACAGCTGAAGGTCTAATTAAAAAGCGGGGAGAGCACTTTGCACGACTCGGCACTGTGGCACAGAAGGACGGAACTCAAACCAGCAAAAACAAACAGGTAAAAGGAGTCAGCCGTCGCCTGATCCCCTTCGGAATGCCAAGCCGCCCCGCCGGGCTGGCGGAAATCCACCGAGTCGGCGAGCCCACAACCCAGCATTTTTTCCAGTAGTAATTAAAGCTTGCTTGTTTTTCTGTGAATGACCCAGTCTAAACCAGACTAGGGCTGAAGGATGCAGTCACAAACGACCCTCCACTCCAGCCTGACAGGTATCTGCATTTCTGCGTCTACCACCACCTCCTCTAACCCAAGGGACAGGGTGTAATGTAGCGACCTGGCCTACAGGGGGAGTCAACCAGCAGATCCAACCAGTGCTATACCAGTAAAGGTAAGGTAAAGGCCAGGCTAGGCATCCTCAAGGTCTGCAGACCAAGTCAGCCTTCTTGAGAAAACCAGCATCACTAGGTGGTTATGCTTGCTCAGGGTGAAACTTGTTTCTTGATCTTCTGGGGGTGGGGGTGGGGTTGGAACAACCACAGTGTGGGGGAGCGTCAACAACACTGAACGAATTTGTAAATCCTCACAATTACGTCCAGGCCCTGTGGTCACGCTATTCTGGGATTGTTCCGGATTTTTCACTTCCTACCCACTAAGCATCCAGAACCATGGGCCCAGGTTTGGGGAACCGGAGCAGCACACCAAAGGAACCTCTACATTGCATTAATTTATCCCAACATTCTTATCCAAAGCGACTGAGAAAGAAGGGTTGGTTAAGGGTCGAGGGACAAATTGTGAAACCACCCCGCTGACCACAGGATTTTAACCAGCCAATTACAGGCACAGCAGTTGACCCACTGAGCCAAACACCACCCCAGCATAACTGTACCAAGTAACTTCCATAACACAAGGGTACGCTGACAGTGGAACAAAAACGTCTTTACTGACACTCTCTCACATACAGCCAGCTGCCGGCTGCCGGTCAACGCAACAGAACGTTCTTCCGAAGGTCAAAACCCTTTGTGGAAAATGTGACCTGGGAAGAATCGCACTTTGTGACATCAAACAGCAGGTTGTCGGTCACTGATGTTAAATGCCTCAGATGCCGGAACTCAGAGGAACCACCAACACTGCACCACCTAGAGGAATTCACTCAGACATCTGTGCAACAGCCATTGCTCAAATGGTTACATGCATTCACCGGTTCATGTTTCAACAGGAACTGCATGTTTCTGGAGCCTGGGAAGAGAGGACCTACTGAAGCCAAGGCAGGAGCCCAACCAACAGGAAAAGGCAATAACCATGTGCCTCAAGCAGAGTGATCAAGCATGGGCAGACATAAGGTGGTGTGGTAGCTAAGAACATAAAACCAATTAATCTCCTGTATGGTAAACAAAGAGAGGTGTACAATTATAGGTTTTCCAGCTGCCTTGGCAGAAACGACAAGTAGCCCATTACTATACACATATAGTTTACAAGCCCAGACATAACCCACAGCATGGACTCCTTCACTGACAGATGGTCCCCTCATACCTGGCTGGACCTTTCTGACGAGGAGGGGGGGGATGTCACATCTAAACCTAGCTCTCCCTAAAAGGTGAGGGATATATATACTGCCCCCCACCGCTCCCCTGACTCACACTAGTGACTAGCCTAACAACTATCTGTAAATGAGGACGCCACGCAAATGCGCAATCATGTGACACTTTAACCCACGAGTGCTCCGTGTCTGACCGATCGGTGCCTAATGCAGCCAATCACGGCTCAGCTGGAGAGGAAAATCCTCCCCGAATGACAGACGTCTTTCGGGCCATTCACAAAACAGGACACGAGGAACGGTCCTCAGATTATCATTACCACAAAAATCAGCACTCTGTACAAAACACAACATGCTGTTAATTTATCATATGTCAGCTGAATGTTTGGCAGAAGGAGATAATCTCTTAATTTGGGTCCTATTAGAACGTGTTTTTCTACTATGTCCTGTTACCCCACAGTTTAAAAGCTTAAAAATAATATTGATACCTAGTGCCTGAAATCTGCCTCGGTAATGTTAATACTAGTGAAGAAACACACCCATAAGAACGACATCTTCAGCCATGACTTTAAATCACATTTCATACAAATGTTATTAAAATGCAAAACCATTTAAAGGTAAACACTCCCAGCGACATCATAACACCAGTCTCGTTTATACTCATTGTAAAAAACAGGCTGCATTAAAACAAACAGTAAAACAAACTGCACTTTAAAGACACTGTTCGGCTTTATTTTAAACTTATTAATAACACGTTTATCAGATGGTCTTCTTTAACAACTCTACCGTCCACCATTTATCTGGAGCCAATGATAGCGAAGGGAATCCCCGCGTCCGGGGCGGCGGCGACCTGCCTTTTGTCTGTCCGCTGAGCCGGCTCGGCAACGGCAGCAACCGGCAGGACCCCCGGACACGTTTCTCAGCCGCTTTGTTTCTGCGTTTCCGCCCAACTACCAAACGACACGTTGTATGCACGAGTCGCCAGTATAGCGCAGCCGGCGTGGAGCCGGTTAAACAGCGGCGCCATCCTGAGGGAGCAGGAGGACGACCGGTATCCATGGAGCGTCGGTCTGAAGATCCAGAACCGAGCAGCCGACACCCAGTTATACCGTAAAATCAATATAGATATTAAAAATGCATCGGTGGCTCGGTTCCGCGCTCCAGTCAGGACCACCAAGAGGGGCTCTGGCGAAGGACGGACCGTTCGCTCCGCATCGAGCCATTATTACCCGCCATCTCTCCCTCTCTTTCCAGTAAAAAACAACTTGGGGCTGGCAGCGAGGTTTGCCTTCAACTTATTTAACGGTCGGTTCGCCTGATCTGGTCGGACCGATGGTGGGTGGCGGGTCCATGCCGATCCAAACCTTACCTGGAAGCGCCCTCTCCGTGTCTAACGGGGGTTCTAAGCCCCACACTGGGGCAGATCGGGGAAAACTACGTGCGCGTCCACAACCACGTGTTGCGACGTCCTTCTCAGGCTCCCCACTTCTGGGCGGGGATGTGCATTGTGCAACCCCGGGCTGCTACTTCTCCACGCCGTAGGGCGTTTATCCCCATGACCCCGAGCAGGAAAGGGGGTGTGCATTGTGCAGAGCCGGGTTGTTGCCTCTCCGTAGCGTGAGGCATTTATCCCCTCGAGCTCGAAGGGGGTATGTGCATTGTGCCTGCTGCCTTATTATGGCACGGAGTTCTTATCCTCATGCTCCCTCGCTGGAAGGGGGATATGCATTGTGCAGTGCCACGCTGCTGCCTCTCCAGGGTCCGTGTGTGGAGGGGCGGCGGAACGTATGAAGAGGCGCTTCGGGGAGAATATTAGCCGACTTCAGGCTGCCGCCCAGCTTGGTTTGTCACCCCAAAAGAGCTTCCACCCAAGCCGCTGAGATTTGTCTTTAACAAAAGATTAAATTTATAGTATACCGTTTGTCTGCTCCAGCTATGATAAAGGCGGACTGCAGATTATTCCTAACTTTCTTACGCGCCAGCAGTATCGGGCCTATCCGATGTGGCGTCCTGGTCGAGTATCACCGCCGTCCGAGGAAGAAGTGAAATTGTCTGTAATGTTGCCTATGACCAGCCCTGCATTCCAGAACAGCTAAGCTTGAATGTCTGTCATTATAGTCATCTTGAACGGGTGCATGTTAAATATATATAGCGCCAGGTGTAGCACCAAGAACCTGTCTTGCTTACTACAAGAAGACGTGAAACTAGGTGAATTTTTTAAATCACCATAATCTGAAGTCGCGTGCAGCGGTTGACTGAGCATGGGTCCATGTTTCGTACAATGTATAAGTGTGTCATACTGAGAAATCCAATTAACAAACGTAATCTTAAAGGTTTATATACAATATTTAACCTGGTATAAGTATATAATTTGTCCTGTGCCCTGAGTACCACCTAAATTGATGAAAATCTGCGGCAATCTCACAAACTGTCACTATAGTGCCCCCCAGTGTCCATGTCGGACAATGACGCAGCACCTGAGGTTTAACAGCACCGATAATGGCCTATTCAATAAAGATTTCAAACTGAGAGATGATTTGTGCTGCTGGCTCTATAAGTGGGCTCATCCAAACAAATGAAACGTAAAAGGGCACGTCTAGGTCCTTTATATTAAATGGGACTGATGGTTTTTTAAGAAATAAGATAAACTTTATTGGTCCCTGGGGCAAATACCAATTTTCACTATTAGGTTAAATTCAGTGAATTAAAATGTATTATGTAGCCTTATGTCACATGGAGTTAACCAGAATGCCCTGTAACCTTTGGATTAAATAAAGTTATGAAATGCAGCATTAATTTCTGTTTATTAAATACAGTGTTCCTTCCCAATGTATTTAGTAGTAACAACAGTATAGATTCAACAGGGATAGGTTTCTGGGGCAGTTGGCTGCTTTGGCTTCTGTGAATGCAGATATGTCAGAAGCAAGCGTGTACGTTTTACTGGATCCAAGGTCAGTGGCATCATGCTGCTCTTCTGCCATCTTAAAGGCAGCCAGGGTTGGGCAGGTCACTGCCATCTGTGACGGGAATCCAGGACTTAGTCAGTTGACATACCTGTGTCTCAGCATAAACATTACATACCTGTTATCTGTCGGTCTAAATTAACCCCAAACTCAGCTAAGAATGTGACAGGGCTCAGCCACCAAACAGCATGGGTTCTTGCCACAGCTTCTGAGACCAGACTCATCTCGTTGAAAGTATCTCTTAGCTGGATTAATCAGCGAGTTTAGATTATGTGACACGAGGGAAATAGTCATTGTCTGAATGACCCACTCAATTTGCAAAGAGAGGAAAACTCTGGTCACACAAGAGGAACATGATCGTTTTCGTAGTATTAACTGGTAACTCCTCCCTAGTACTCCAATGCACGGCAAATCAAACATTTATTAATAAACATGAGAGATTCTATTGCAGGGCTTTACAGTGCAGTTAAAGCCCACGTTCAGGATGGTGTTCCTCATGGCTGCACCTTCCCCATGATGCCGGCTTCACAGGAGCGAGCCGGTCCTGGGGCAGGTGTCTCCAGCTGGGGCTCACGGCGCTTCTCTTCAACGTTGCCAGTTTCAATCGTTACATAAGGTGGTCTAGCTGTGAGACAAGTGACAGTCCTCCAAATTGTACAGGACTCCAGTCCCCGGGGAGAAGAACTGCCTGCTGGCATCTGATTCAGCAAATGCATGACTGATCAATAGGGCAGTGATCTGATAGATGAGGCTTGCAGATCCACGGCGGGCAGAATTATTACAGGCTGTCTGTCACTGCCTGATTTAAGCCCCCCTCTCAGTGCCCCCCACCTCACCCAATGTCCCTTACATTTAGCCCCTGATTATCTGAGTGGAAAGGGGGGGCTCCAGTGAGGCTCAGGTTCTCAGGCCTTGCCCGCCTGTCCACCCCGCTTGCTGTCCAGCTCCTTCAGCCCTTCCTGAATGTTCTCCACCGCCTCGTTGTCACCGGCTGTCTTGGCCATCTCCAGTGCTTCCTGGTAGAGACGTGCTGACTCACTCACCTGACCTGGCAAGAGAACATGATTGGTTATGGATTGAAGTCTCTCACTTGATTGGTCCCCCACCCGTTTTAGAAACATACATCTGCTTTTCATATCGCCAGAATTACAGAACACAACTGACTCATTAAATGTTATTTTTTGGTCATGTGACAGAGTCGAGTTTTGCACCATAGCACCTCACCCTGGTGCAGCAGGATGCCCGCCATGTTTCCGAGCAGCACATGCTGCTCAGGGAATCCCGTCTCCTTGCCGAAGGCCACGGCATTCTTCACCTGGGCCAGTGCCTCCTCGTGGCGGCCCTGCATGTCCAGCACTGTGGCCAGATCATTCATCAGCACCAGGGTCTGCGAAGCACACAATGTCACAGTGCCCTCTACTGACAGCTGAGGGTACAGCAGGAGGAGATCCTGTTCCATGCCCGCACACACACTAAAGCAGGGGTGTCAAACTCCAGTCCTGCAGGGCCAGAGCCCTGCACAATTTTGGGTTTCACCTCATTTAACACACCTGATTCAACTCCTTGTGCTAATTACCACACAGCTCTTGAGCGGAATCATTTGAATTTTGACTTTGACACTGATATCAGCTTTGGTACCTCAATATCAAAGCCAAATGATTACAGTAGAACACTCCTATTTAAATATCATATTGCTTTGAAATAAACAGGCCTATTTATGAAATGCCTGCTTATGCATTAAACCAACGACAATAGCCTATGATATAGTTTTATCAATGAAATAAGCAGCAGCCATTACAAAACCGAACACACAATATCGAAAATAAACGTTAGGTTTATATTATCTGAGCAGTATTTAGCTCAGCCTACTTTTCATCACTATGAACTCACTTGTAGGCTAAACATCACAGTGATACATCACAAACACACAGTAGCACTAAGACCACTGAAGTGTGCACACGTTCCTCTTCACATGCAGTTTATTAAAATAGGTAGGACCCAGAACACAGAGCAGAGTCCCCTGCAGACTGAGGGCCCCGTACCTGTGGGTGAGTGTCGCCCTGCTCTCGCCTGCAGATCTCGAGCGCACGCTGGTAATCGCTCCGTGCCTGGTCCAGCCGACGCATGGCAGTCAGATACCGGGCCCGCGAGTCCAGGCACAAGCCCAGAAGCAGCAGCGTGTCCTTCCGCTCCTCGTCTGCGGGGGGGGGCACAGCAGAGCAGTGCACTCATGCACCCAGAGCCTGATCACAGGACCGATTAGCACACAGCCGTTTGGCCGAGCAGCGATTCGGGTAGAACATCAATGAGAGACCATGCAAGCGGAAGAGAAGGAGCTTCCCCACAAGGACGCTGGATTTCAGACAGTGTGTGAAAAGTCAGTGTAAGTACCTAGATATCCGCTGAATCTCTTTGTTAGTGTTGGACACTTCAGGTCCAGCAAGTACAAACCCAGACCAGATTTTGTTTCTACCAAAAAAACAGCTAAGTACTCTGTGACTCTTTTGTACTGAACTAGTTGGTAGAAACAAAATCCTGGTCTGGATTTGTACTTCCTGGACCTGAAATGCCCAACACTACTGTTAGCAACCTCTCTCATTATCCCCTGTTTAATAATCTTCAATTAATCAATAACGAAAGCTACCTGAGGGGTGTGGTCAGGTTATTACCTGTAAGACTGTCTGAGGAAAGCTCTTTATGCTTGTCAATCTTGGCCTCAAGGGACTCCACACAGAACTGGAAACCATGCTCTGCCAAGTCATGCCTGCAGGGGGCAATGCATACAGACGGACCAGCTGACAATATGAGCGCCTGGCTGCAGACGCAACCGGTCACTGCCCAAACTCACCGGTTCTGCGAGCCATAAATGCTGGCCAGCTTCAAACTCATCTCGACCACAGCGTTGTCGTCCTGCCCCCACAAAGAGAACATTGGGAGAATAGGGCGTCACACTGCGCGGCAGGGGGCAACATGGACCCCGGACAGATAGGCCATGTCACTCACCTCCGGGGTGCCCCCAGCCAGCAGGAAGCTCATGGCCGCTTTGAAGAGCTTCTCCGCCTGGGGGAAGGAAGAACACAAGCTCACTGCTCTGCCTCAGTGCCCATGGCTCATAATGCATCTCCGAGGGGGGCAACCAATGTACCTCGGGCAGCTGGCCTTGCACAAAAGCCAGGTTCGCCATCTGGATAGAGAGAAAGACGACATCACTGACACCTGGTCTCCCACCCACAATATCCAGAATGAGGCAATGGGGTAAAAACAAGCAATGCTGTGGTGATTTTATTTAAATCACCATCATATTTTACTATAGTGCATCCAACACAAGTTAATACCCAGGTATGACACAGTATAGAGCAGGGAGGGCTCTTCAAATCTGGACCTCGATTCCAAATCCAGGCCTTGTTTTCAGTTCTCCCAGGTAGTTAGTTTAATAATTACTGATTCTGATTGGTCAGAGGCTTCACATCTGGCTCACAGGTAAAGGAATGCTGGAAAACCAGCAGTGCTCGGACCCTGAGGACCATGATTTGAATAATAGGGATATAGAGTATAAGTGCTATACAGTACCATTGTGTAGGTGTAGATGATAGCCTGAGTGTTGTGGCTCTGGTGGGCCAGCCGGATGGCTTGGTGCAGGGTCCTGCTGGCTGCCTGGAACTCCCCCTGGATGATGCTGAGCTGAGACACATAACACAATCAGTGTCAGACAGGGAGCAGAACACAGGGAACATCCTGCCTGCTCATCAACAATCAGCCAACAAAACGCAACAGCAAACTGACTGTAAACCGGGACGGAGGACTCGCCAGTCACACATCAGCAAAGGGGCATCAGCTCCGGCTGACATACCTTGGAGCGCTTCAGGAGCATGATGATCTCATCTTCGGTCTTCTTAGCTTCATCTTCTACATCGTCAGTCTTGGAGAAGAGCGAGAAAGCTGCTTTTAAGCAGAGAAAAAGAGGAGACAGCAGGCGACCTCTGAGTAAACCCGATCTGTGCAATCGCCAGGCACTTCTGACATACCATGCATTAGACTCAAACCCCTTTTGGATCAGTACGGAACATGCAGCGAACCGCGTTTCTACATTTAAAGACAGGCAGCCGGCTCATCGGTCATTAAGATCCGGTCACCTTACCCAAAGCGCTCCACAGTAGTGAAGGTTGTCGGGACCCGGAGCCCCCAGAGTTCTTGGCGATACTGGGCAGCCGGAGCGGTTTGTCGCTCGCAGCGGACCTCGCCACTCCAGACCGGGACGTTGCTTCGCTAAAAGATAGCAGCCGACCGGCCGAAGCTCCCAAGATAGTACATCGGTTCCGTTTCTGGAAGAGCCTGGGAAGAGCGGAAAACGCTCGCTGCGCCATACGGGCCGCCATGACGCTCCAGCCGGCAAGGAGTACGTGGTGACGCCAAGCAATGGTGGCACGCCCCTGGCGTTTACGGGCGCGAGCCTACGCACGTTCATGCACATGTGTACGAGCGGTGTGACTAGGGTCCATTAATCTGGATTTGTAAAGACAGCCGAGTAGCAATCTTGATTTGTTTGGATCAGATGTTTTAATAGATGAGCTGCTCACGTTCTAGGCTCTAGGCTCACATTTGAGCTGGATTCCTCTGTTCACACCCGCACATTCTGTTGATACAGCGTGCATACGGAGTCTACCTCAGACGGACACAGCTAGCTGAACTCAAAAACGGACCTTGGTAATTTCCAAGCATTTATACAGTTCAAATAATTCTTAGCTTTCCACTAGCACGCATTTTTTAATGAAGCACAAAATGCTCAATATTCACAATAAAAGATTTTATTTTTTGAACATATGAAGATACAAAATATAGATTTCTTTTGGCAGTAATACTGTCAGTGGCTGTGCTGTTATGAAGAGCTCTGCTTTCACTCCTGGCCACGCACTGCCCACTGACACGTCACACCATACATGAAAAACAGGTGCGGTGACATTAGGAGAAACGGTCACACACACACCGCAGGGCTACAGAAAGTGTCGATCATGGGCGGGCAGCTGAACAGAGGGCCGATGATAGTTGAGGAGAGTAATAGCAAATCCAGGTACGACCATCACATTGTGCTCACAGCTCCAGCTTGAATCAAATTCGCCCCGTTTATCCTTAAATGCATCCAATTTCTGTTACCATATCAATCAAGCATTTTTAAAAAAAAAATTGGGGGGGGGGGGCTCCATTAAATACTAAACCAGGGACATATATAATGTAAAACATTTACATTTGTCTTCCAGGAAGGAAATGAACAAAATGTGCCTTTTGTGCATCTGGCATATTAAACATCTACATCAAGGTCTATCTATGGTCCCTCCTGTCCAGTCAGCATGTAACCCACACACACACAGGCACAAACACACACACAGGCACAAACACACACACAAGCACAAACACACACAGGCACAGCGTTAATACTGACTTTAAAATAACATTTACAGTTTAACACCTCTTAAATGTGCATGGAAGCACATTCACTTTATAGCACTTAACTGATTTCATCTTCTGGAACGTATCTCGAAAGAATTTCAATCAAACATGGCAGTTTATAACAGGATTTTACCTACACTATTAAACACAAAAGCATAGAAATAATGGGGCATTTTTTTTAAAACACCAGCAACACAGTTGTGTGATCATAGCATCACACCATTCACTATCAAATATATAATGATTGTGTGTAGGATATTACAACGAGAGCCAGGCGCTCTCAGATAGGAATACGAAATTTAAAAAGGAACCAGAGTTCAGCATGGTTCCGAATATGATTTATGTGTTTGAAAGACAAAACAATGGCACTTATATACATGGATGAGGATAATTAGAAAACTACTGAAGATATTTGAGGCTGCTGCAGGTAAGTGTGACAGTAAAGTTAACTGATAACCAGAGAGAACTAAACTTATGATGCAACAGTTGATGCTCAGAACCATAAAATATGCGCAGAACCTGTTATTAACAATGTGAAATATAGACTCAGGAGAATGACTGACTTCAGAAGTAAGAGGATTCCTCACCACGGTTTAGAATAGCACCAGTAAGTCTGAACGATCAGTGCCACTTCCGGATGAGATGGGCTCCTCCAGCAACAGATCACAGGCCCTGAACACGAGCCTGTGAACCAGGACGGGGTAGAGGGAGCCCAGTCTGTTCAATTCACCAAGGAGCGAGGGGTTAACGCACCCCTACACAGAGATCTGTCCCACTGGTCAGCACTCTGAGCTGTTATTGCTCTCAAGCTCACCTGTATCTTGTTTTTAACCTCTTTCCAAAACAAGGTCACACAGGAGGAATTCTGCCTGGCTCCCACTAGCGCCCCCCACAGGTGTCTCATAGGAACAGATGAGAAGGCAGTAAACCCAGGTGATACCACCACCTGGTCACTTGAGTCACCGCAGAACTTCAGGGACAGTGAGGATAAATGCCACCCTCCCCCCCCCCCAGGTGCCAAACCTGTTATTTTTTGGAGGAAGTTGTGTGGGTGGGGGGGGGGTGTGGAGTCACTAAGGAGCATCACACAGGTATGAATAAACATGAAATCCCAACTCAAAGCTAGCATGGGAATCTAGGTG